CATTGTGGGCTTTGGAGCATTTTAGTGAAAGACTTGTGCTAATCAAATTCTTCAAGGCTTCTTGCATTTTTTTTCTTCTTGAACGTGTCATTGGACCAACAATGTTGATCAAATTATCATCTTCACAAACTTGAGCTTCCTGATTAGCAACATTTGAGCTTTTGTGCATTTGATCGCTATCATTCGGTGTTTAAGTTCGATTTTTGAACAGGCTTATGATAATGTTAATTGGGGGTTTTTGAATAAGGTCATGCAGAGAAAAGTTTGGGAATTGTTGGAGATGGATGGGGGATGCCTCTCTTGAGTTTCTTTGTTATTATTGTTATGGTGAGCCCAAAGCTTGGTTTCAGGGTAGCATGGGGTTAGGCAGGAAATCCTCTTTCTTTTGTTCCTCTTCACTTTGGTGTTAGATGTTTGTAGTCATATATTATCTCATGTTTGGGAGAGGTTTACTAAATTTTTGAGTGTAGGGGAGGATGAGATTGAAGATTCTCATCCCATCTTTAGTTTGATTATGGCATTATTTTGCTCCTGCCCCATGAAACTAATATGTCCTATAATGTGCTTACCTTTTTGCAAGTGTTTGGATAATTCCCGGTGGCAGATTATCCTGAATAAGAGTAGTTTTGCTGGTACTAATATTGAGGCTTAGGTTATTAGGGGCTTAGTTGAGTATGACTTCATTTGTTAGTGCTGTCTGAGCAAGTATCTTTTTAAAAAGTTTGCTTCTGAGTGCTGTGATTAAAAGCTTGCTGACATGAAAAGTAATCATAATGTTTCGTTAATTAATTTGATAATATATTATTTTGATGCTGTATAAAATACATTTATTTGGTATTTATATATATATATGTGTTGTTAAAAATATCATAGAAATACAAGAAATATATTTTATTTTTATTACACTTATTCTTTTAGATGTTAAAATATATTTATAGTATTCCATAAACTTTTACCTAAAGATATATGAAGTAATTAGAACACATTAATGATTTTTATTTGCTTCTATTGGAAGTAATCTTGTTGCTTTAAGAAAACAATCGTGAA